CTCTCCTTGCTGTCCCCCAGCACCCCACAGAGGTTCAGGTTTGGAAGTCACCTGGTCAGACCCACTCTGCCGTATGCTGGAGGCTGGGCCAGGCACTCTGTTTCTCCAAGGGGCTGTTCTCTCATTTCTGAGGTACAGTTGATAATGGTACCTGCCTCAAAATGTGGCTGAGAGACATAACATGAGCACAGATTTGATGCTGAGAACCGCCAGGTTTCTGACCTGGAGTTGCTTACAGAATCGAAGCCCCTTACAGAGTCAGAAACCCCTCATATAGCATTTACTATGTGCAGGGCACTGGTCTATGCATGTATCTCCCCATTACTATTACCCTATTACAGGTGAGAAAACTGCTGCATAGAGAGGTTAAGTTACTTGCCCAAGAGCACACAGGGTAATAATCTGAAGAACTGGGATTCAAACCCAAGCATCTTGGCTTCAGAATCTGTGCTATTAACTCCTAGGCTATGAGTCCTGTTGGCCTAACCAACTGTACAGTTTGTGGGATGGAAATATGATGATGGTTAGATGAATATGAGTGAGTCCCTGTTTTAGTCGGTTTTTTTTTTTTCACTGCTTTGACCAAAAGACCTGATAAGAACACTGTATCTTTAGAAGAAGATACATTTATTTGGGAGCTCATGGTTTTAGAGTTCTCTGTCCTTAGACAGCTGGCTCCATTCCCTGGAGCTCTAGGTGAGGCTGAACACCAAGGGAGGAGAGTGTGGTGGAGGGAAGCATCTCACCACTTACAAGATACAAATTATATACCCAAAGGCATGCTCCCCAATAAGTCCCCCAATGATCCACCTCCTCCTGCCACATCCTACCCGCCTTCAATTACCACTCAGTTCATCCCTATCAGGAGATTAATTCACTGATTGGGTTCAAGCTCTCCTAAGCTAATCATTTCACCTCTAAGCCTTCTTGCATTGTTTCACACGTGAACTTTGTGGGGGCACCTCACATCCAGACCATAAAGGTCCCCTCCATAGACTAGAACAGAGAAGAAGATTCCTATCCTTGCCGCTGCCCAGCTTCTGTGTGGAGGCTTTGGGAATACAAGTTGAGAGCTGTCTCCCTGGCTCCATCCAGTTACAGCAGTGTGTTCTGGCAGGGGCTATAGGTTTGCCTCAGTTGGAATCTTCCTGGGCTGCAGGTGTGGCCCAGCCCACTGAGCAGGTGCACTGGGTTTTCACTTGGTGTCTTCTATCTCTAGGGAAAAGGAATTATGCCATTGGATTTCACAGTTGACTCTGAAAATACATATCTCCCCAGTCTGTTTAGGGCTGGGCTGGACTACCTTCCTGACCCTGTTTCTTCCCCTCTCCTCTCTATGCCACTTGGTCTCTATTTGCTCTGGTCAGGGTGTCTGGTTGGGACGTCACCTCCTGCCTGTAGCTGCTGCTCTTGGCTCTCCAGCCCCCGACTTCCTCCCAATTGCTGGCAATGTGTGCACATTCCCCAAAGTGCTGTGACATCTCCGAGGACATTACCGATTTGGGCAAGTCCCAAGAGAAGGGCCATTTCTTCCCCAAACTGCCTCTGGACAATCCAGTGGAAGTGGGGTAGACCTGACAAGTTTCTAGTGGCCTTAAAAACTTCTCTCCGTCATATCCATAAACAACGGGTGCCTTCTGAGGCCTATCAGGATGATAAGGGGCTCGAACAAGGCCCTGGTAATCTTGCTTCTCATGCACCCCTGAGTCTGTTGAAGGGAGGTACCAATGTTTCTACTTCCTGGCTTAGAAAGTTTTTTCCAAAGATAGCTCCCAAGGTAGCCTGGGGCTAAGTGGCCTCTAGCTCATCTTTTGACCAGGTCAGTGGACTCCATAGATAGCAGCCTTCCTTTTCCTCTCTTGAAAGACCAAAGCCCTCTGATAGTAGCTTGGGAGGAAGCTAGTGAGTGCCACACTCACTATTTAACCCCTTGCCAGAAGGTATGGAAAGGAGGACAAGATGATGGCCAAGAATACTTGTAAAACTCTGCTCTGCCATTCAAATGACTTCAGAGGCATCCTGGCCTCTCTAAGGAAAATCTCCTGCTGGGGAATTCACCCTGCTCCACGCTGACTTTGTTCAAGCACAGTGCTAGGTTGGAAATAAAGGGAAGCCAGACCATAGGCCCCGAAGCCCTCTCAGAACACGGTCAGGTGGATGCTGATGATGACAAGGACTGCCAGCTGGAGTGCCTTCAGAGGCAGGCATGCGTGGGGCTGCGGAGGCTCATTGCTTCAGTCGGAGACGAAGATATTTTTAGGGATGAATCCGGGCCTTCCTTCTCTCCCTCCTTCTGATGCTAAGTAGCCATCTGCATCTCCCAGACAACCTCCACAGGCAGCATTCTAGAAAAGCAGGCTAGGGAAGTGGCTGAGATTATATATAGAACATAGAGCGGCTCCATCGGGAGGTTGAATTTGCCTGGTGTACCAAGAGCGAGAAAAGGCTGTGGGAGACCCGGAACCCACTCACTTCCTCTGGGACCCTCACAAGGGCCTCCTTATATCTACGCCTCCATTCATTCATTTAATCTGACAAGGGGCTAGATAATATTTCTTCTGAGGTCCACTCTTAACATTGTGTGATCTTCCCTTTGAAGAGCTGAGTTGCATAAACTTCCAGAAAATCCCAGCAGGACATTTCCTGGTGATCATTTTGCCGTATGACATCCTGAACCCACTCCTCTCCTCTTTCTGGGGGAGATGGTCAGCAAGGTTGGCTTGTATGAGGTGACAAGAGACTCTGACCCAAGAAGTCCCAAGGTGTGTCTCCCTCTATCCAGGTAGCTCCCATCAGTTCCCAGCTTGTCCTATATCCAAGGAAAAACACAGGCCCCAGGCTAGGCTAGCAAGGGTCTTTCTCAGTTGAGCTCCCTGAGATAAGGATTGGGAGTGGAGGAGAGGAGGCAGAGTTCTAGGAATGCACTGGCAACTTCTCATTTTCGAGCTGCTAGAACTTCGGTACTGAGCAATGCTATCTCTGTTAAAAACTTCATTGGCCCACAGTGTTCCTGAAATAATGACAAATTTGTTTTAATCTGAAGGGAAAACATTGTGCTATAGATAAGGCAATGGGAATTATAAAAAAATTGAACAATAAATAATACAGCTCCCATAGCATCATGTGCTTCTGATGATTTATCTGCTGCCTTATTAGTTACATGAGTACAGGAAGCACATCTAGATCTTGATAGGGTTTGTTAAATGAATAAATGACTCTGCCTACATCCCCATCCACAACTTGGGGGTCTCAGGCCCGGGCCAATAGCAACAGGTCTTGTCCAGTGAAATCAAGCTGGAGATAGAGATAAAGGGGTTTCCTAAAGCTCCTCACTGTCTTGAGTCTGCTATATCATTCTTCAAAGAAGACAGGGCCAGGTCGACAGTGTCTCCTCTTTCTTTCAGCAGACCTGAGCTCTACAGAATGCTTGAATGGACTGGCGGTGGGTCAGGCTGGAACAGTTCTTTCAGGAACAGACCTGCCCTATCTAGCGTCCCAGAGTCATGGCTATTGAGGTTTCGGACACTGTGTTTAGGCCACTAGTGGTTATGCCAATTCTGGTATCAGATAGATCTGGGCTCAAATCCATACTTACTAACCATATGACAAGATGTTTTACTCATAGTTTTCAGTTTCCACATCTGGGAAACAGGGTGATAATAGAAATGTATCTACTGTAGATTCAAGGCTCAATTGAGATCATGTGATGAGGACCATCTATCAACTGATGTCACAGACCTAGTTCCATCAGAATGGAATATTGCTCCTCTGAGTTGATTGAGCTGATTGAGCTGTGTAAACTGAGCAGGGACAGCTTTTGGGAAAAATTCATCTGTATGAAGTTGATTAAATTCTGAAGATGTTAAGAGATCTGTCAGGTGGGATAACACCTGGGAAAACCCAAAAGGCCAGGGGTAATAAAGAATAAGAGAAAAAATAGACCCCAGGTTTTGGGGACAAACTGTTCTGTTTGTACTTTCCTGGCAATGGAAAGTGGTCTCTCCTGAAGGTGGTCTTGTGCTGGGGAATTCCAGCAGCCTGGAGCCATAGTACTGTTTGCTCATTGCCCAAACCTGCCTGTTTTCCTCCCTCTGGGTCATCTGTTCCAGGAACATTTATTGATGCTTACTTTGGGTAAAGCCCCATGATGGAGCTGGGCCCCAGAGGTGAGTCAGCCATTGTATCTGCCCACGAATCTGCTCAGTTCATGATCACTACTACAGCAGTGTGTCCCAGGTGTCTTGCATGACTTACACTCTTTAAAGTGCTTCATATTTCTTCTAGGCTCTACCTCATTCACACTGTTTTCTGTCAAGGTTTTTCTTTGGAGCTGTGGTGACTCTGGGCAACAGGGAAAGGTGGGCAGAGCAGAAACTAAGGCAACACCCAAGAAAGAAGGTGTTTAGGTAATGTGACCAAATCAACACAGATGGTCCGCACCATCACCCCTCTTCCTACAAGTTTTATCCAAAGTAAGGCCAGTTCAAATGAGGGCCTATTAGCTAGCAGAGCAGTTTGCTGATGCTCAGGGTGGTCACCAACCAAACCAAGGAAAGAGACTGACAGAGTGTACACAGTACAGGAAGTGCTATACTGCTCCCTCATGTCCAAAAGGGGACAGTGAGTCGCTTTCCAGCTGCCTAGGCCAAGAACCTTGAGGCTCAGCCCTTGCCTCTCCCTTGACACTAGAATACCAACACCTGAGTTTTCATCTCACAGCATCACCACGCCCTGCTCCCGTCAGCCTTAGTTTTGGTCTCCGACCTGCGCTGGTTAGGGTGGTAGAGCCTGGCCGCTCCCTGCGCTCAGGGCCGGGCTTCGGCCCACGTGCGCCAGAGGCAGCAGTGGTGACAGCCGGCCCCATGAGGGCGGGGAGAGCGTGGGGGTGGACTCCGCGCCGCACTGCCATTGGCCGTGCTCCTCGGTTTGGAGGCGGGGCCTCGCCCCCGGATGCCCTGTCATTGGCCGCGCCGCCAATGAGGGCGTTTCCCAGTCCGGACCGCCGCACAGCGCAGAACTGCAGGCTCCCGGCCGGCTAAGCCTGCGCTGGGCGGCCTCGCTAGCTCTCAGCTCCGCAGGCGGCCGCCGGGTCTCGACCGCTGAGCCCACAGCTTGAGGCGGAGGCAGGCGCTGATCCGAGGCCAGGCTGCCCAGGAGTCTCTCGGTAAGGCGGAGGCGGCGTGAGCTTCGGGCGGGCGGGCGCGGGTGGGAACTGTGCCAGCTGTGTCTGGACTCTGAGCCCTGCCCTGCGCCCGGGAGGGTCAGGTGCGGCCGCGGCATCCCACGTCTCAAACCCACCCGGCGGAGCGCGCAGCGAGCAGATGTTATTGTCGATGGAGCCCACGGCGTCCCAGGTCAAGCCCCCGAACCAATTAGAACGTAACGAAAACCTCCTGGTGATAACCCGAGCTCTCTCTTACTCCTCTCTCAAACACCCAAACCCTGCGATTCTAATCCTAGAAAATCCCAAACGTCAGAGCGAGGTGGGCGCAACGCGCCAGCAGTGCCGCCTGTCATACAGCGGGTCCTTCCCGAACTTAGCTTCAAGGGATTTGGGTTCCGCGCCCTTTATGTCCTTTCGGCTCTTCACTGGGCGGCCCCCCTCCCCATTCTTCTCCCTCCTTAATAACAGGAAGTTAAGTTGGGCCAAATGTCAGTGGCTAGGCCGGCTGTGGGCTGGGACCCTGGCTGGGGCCGGGGCCGCAGCACTGTCCTCTCGGCATCGCATGCCCCAGCAGTGGGCTTTCACTGCAGGCCCAGGAGCACCCGGGACCGGGCGTCCACGGCGCCGTCCCTGTGGTTGTCTGGCTGCCCGTTGGGAAAGGTAGAGTCTTGCCCGCAGTCCCTGCCGCTGCTGACCCTCGGAGCAAGTGGGGTTAACTTTATCCGGGCCAGCCTCATCTGTCAGAGCTCAGAACAGCCTTTACTGGATAGGGAAGAGGCGTGTTGAAACCAGAGTAAACGTGTGTCTCCTTCCACATTGTTTATTCTGGATCCTGGGTTCTTAAAGCGGAAAGAGCTTTCATTTGTAAGCCATAGGACCTGTGGGTGTGCATCGGGTGCTGGCGCTCTTGCTGACAGTCTGGTCTGGTCTTCAGTGGTTTGGGTGAAGGATGAAGTCACTAACCAGCCCCCTTGTGGACAGGTCCTACGTGGAAAAAGCCAACAGTCAGTTGCCCTCCACATTTGCCTGCCTGGGTTCCCTGGCACTAGTGCCCTCTCTGTGCCTGTCCCTTCAGTAGGGGCAGAGGACCCAACAAGTGGGCTTTGAGTCCCCAGGACAGCCCCAGGTGATGTTCTGGAGACTTTAATTGCAGTAAGAACTGGCCTTCTTCAGGCAGAGGGAAGATGGATTTATTAAGCACCTCTTGGGCACCAGTTTCGGTCCTGGGGCATTTTTGCAACTGATTTCACTGGTTACTCTCCGAAACGTCCGAGTTTTTGCCCCACTGTCCTCATTCCATTTTAGAGATGGGGAAAGAGAAAGCGTCTGAGCCAGGTCTTGGCTCTGTCCATGCTAAGTCCAGTACCTCTTCTGCTACCCTAAGGCTGTGGAAAGTGGAATGCTATGCATGGAACTGTGGCTTCCCTGTAGGTTGACTGAAGCCTTCTGGCCTCTGGAGGATTCTGTCCACCAGGATTTCAGGAGATGCTTCTTTAACAAAACACATGAACTGACCCAGGTTAGCCTATGTTATTCAACCTGCAAACTCATAGCTTACACTGTCCTCTGGTCAAGGGTGATGGATAGTGCTGGCCATGATATGACAGGGAGGGAGGGATTGACTGCTGGTTTGGGGGCACTGTTTTTCTTTGGGGGGGTGCTCTTTCCACCATTGACTTGGCCTCATCTTTGAGAGTTGACTTTTGCATTAGTCTGAAAAGACTATTTTAGGTGAAATAACCTTGACCTTAAAACAGATTCCAGTTTTATGGCTTTTCTTTTTCTTTCCTTCTTTCTATCTCCTTCCTTTCTTCTTTCTTTTATTTTTCTTCTTTGGAGGGAAAAGGCAGGTGCTGAGGTATACTAGTTGTGTTTGTGGTCTGATTGAAATACAGTTTGACATACCTTTATAAAAATGACATCCCTTTTTATCTCTGTCCACTTTCTTCTTTGGGCCTAGGGCTTTGATTTTCTGCTCGTCCCTTCTTCCAAAAGAAAATCACTATCAGCTAGATACTAATCAATTATACTTTAGTATAAATTAGCTTAAGGACTATGGCTGTTTGTGGCTGTGAAGTTCCATTCCCAGGAGCTACAAGGAGCATCCAGGTAATCCCCATTCCTTTTTGCTTATGATTGGGGTGTATCTTTATTCTCTCTGCCATGCTCATACCCCTGTCTGGGTTTTCTTTCCAGCCATGCACCTGCTCCCTTCTCTCCCCACTAATGAAGAGTAGATGTCCTGCCTTGTTGGTGCAGAGGCTTGGCCATAGTTAGCCCTCAGAGGACTAACAGTCTCTGTTACTTAAAGAGCCAGGGAAGAGAATACTGTTCACCATGCTGGGACATTTCATTCTTTGTATGAGAGCCCTGCATTAGCCCTCTGAAGACGTAGATGGAGCTGTTCCCATTTTACGGACCAGGAAACTGAGACTCAGAAATGTTGTAACTTGCCCCCATTAGAAAGTTAGTGAGATAAGATTGGATTCCAGCCTTGGTCTGTTGAGGGGGAGGGATAAAACATTAAGGGAAGCAGGAAAACCTTGTGCCTGTCCTCTGAACTCTAGAGCTTGGTGTGCAGAGTTCCTCTGCTGGACTGACTACTCCCTACTTTATGTTATAATTATGTGTGAACATGTCTTCTCACCCCACCATAAAATGGCTTTAAAACACTCATAAATGGGCTGGGATTGTGGCTCAGTGGTAGAACACTTGCCTACCATGTGTGAGACACTGGGTTTGATTCTCAGCATCATGTATAAATAAATAAAGCAAAGGATCACTGACAATTAAAAAGAATATTAAAAACACTCATAAACTTGGCAGATTTATTTTCTGGTTCTCTCAAGTCCTCCTTGCTCTGTATTTCCTTAGCCTTTCGCTAAGGACATCTACCATGATGTGTTACTGCCCATTATTAAAAAAATATTATGAACATTTTCAAACACTTACAACTAGAATAGTCTAATGAGACCCATATACTCCTTCCCAGCTTTATTAGCCACCAAGACTGTCAGATTATGTCTTTTTCCTTTCCCTCTGTTCTCTCTTCCTGAAGTATTTTAAAGCAAACCTCTGACGTCATGTCATTTTGTACCTATATAATCCAGTATTGATCTTTAAAAAAAAGAATCTTTTCTTGCAAAGCCACACTGTCATCACTGCACAGAATAGAATGGACAGTATTTCCTTGGTATCACCTGTCTGTATTTGGATATGCTTCATTGCCAGAAATGATCTTTACAGTAGTTTATTGGAATCAGGAGCAGTGTGCTTGCGGCACTTATCCGTTGGTCCTTTCACGCCTATTTCAATCGGGAGAAGCTCCCCTCCTCTTACTCAGCAATTACCCTCTGTTTTAAGTGCCTGTCTCTACCCTCCCAGAGCATGGCAAACCCCTTGAGACTAGAGTTCTCTTCTATGCCATGCAAGATACACAGAGTAAAGTCGTGTGTGGAGGACCTGGCAGAGACTCAGTGAGCATCTGTCCAGCGTTATGGCCAATCAAGAAATGTGTTTGGAATGGACTGAACCCTGTTGGGGGTTGTGAACTGCCATGCACATGTTTGCAAAAGAGGTTTCCCCAAAAAAAGACTTGCTCACATGTGGCTGTTTCCCCAGCAAGCATCAGTCTATAGACATCCTAAAGCAGAGCTGGCCCTCACTGACTGATTTGTGGTAGGGAACCCAGAGGGCCACATCAGTGCCCTGATAGCAACTGGCCTCTGAAGATCCCACGTGGGCTGACGTCGTTTTTGCTCAAGCTTTGAACTCCACCACAGTCATGACTATGCTATGATCCAGGTCTTTGGTGCTGGGCTTGGTGGAGAATGCCACACAACTTTTCCCTCTTTCTCTGAGCAGTGTTTTTCTTGCCTTCTAGAGCTTTCTTGAACCTGCTTCACACTTGGGTGAGTGATGGAGTGTTTCTCCAAACACCATTCATCTGCAAATGTGGAGGGGACAGGGCATGTCAGAAAATGAATATGTATGACCTGTTTGTTCTCTGAATTTTTTCTGTAGAGATCAGTGTCACCGTTGGCATCTTGCAGGAGACCAGAGGCTCGGGAGGGAGGGAAAGGATGCACCTGCCCTTCTTGACAATGCCTTTCAGACAGGCATCTCCTGCCCCATCTCCTCCTGAGTGCTGGTGCTTTGGGACATGTCTCCTTATCCCACCTCTATCCTGTAGAAGCCCCTCCTCTGAAAGAGCCCTCAAAATGAAGAGCTGAATTTTTGTTTTATTATGTTTTCTGTTGGCTTTTTTTTCTTTTTTCTTTTCTTTTTTTTTTTTTTAAACAGTCTTTTCCACTAGGAAGAGAGAGAACAAAATTTTAAGTCTCTCTCTGAATGGCAGTACCAGAGTTGATTTTTTTTCCTTTTATTGTTCACTACTTAGTATTTTTTCCAAAATTTTCAGAGTAGAAATATTTTATTTTTATAATGAAAAATTCAAATATTCAAAAAAATTTTTTTCTCTTAAAAAAGAGGACTCCAACTGATTTGGAATGAGTAGACATAATTATTCGTGTATTTGGTGTAGCTATATATGTAAAACCACAGGGCTACTGGAATTTTGCTATTTCTTAGGATCATTATTTTAAAGAACATCTTGGTCTTGTTACAAGTTAGGAAATAAAGAAAACTGGGGCTTAGGAAAGAGAAAAATATAAGATAACCATGAAATCTTGCCCTCCTCCCCATTGCGCTTCCTCCCTTTCCTTCCTGAGAATATTGTTTTGCTGTTCCCCAAATGAGATCTTTCTAATATTAGGCTCTCCATTTTGATTTTCTTATTCAAGGAGTTTGAGCCATCAGCCAAGATAAAATGATACAGTGTGTTAGCACAAAGAAGACAGGGCCGAGCTGCTGGCTCCAGGGGACCGTCTTGTTCTCTTGGGAAAATGCCTGATGGCCCAACATCCAGCTCAGCTCACTTGGGGCTTGGGTGCCCTGACCCTCCCCGCTCCAGCTTCTGTTTTCTCCCTGTACCCTCCCCC